ACAGTTCCACAAATGCTTCAATGCAAAAGATGACTAATGAAGATTACACAGGCTTAAACAAGACACAAGAAGAGGCAAAAAAATTCACGAAAAAACGACCAATAAATAAATTTCTTTAATGGATTGCATTAAAATATTGCGTAATCAATTAATAAATACCATAAAAAGCAAACGATCTCACCATGTATTTGGTGATTGGGTAGATAATTAGATCATCTGACAGGAAATAAAAATAATAAACCTATGTAAAGTATACTTTATTAATATGCTAACAATAATTAACCGAATTAAAAGAATATTTCAATCAAATTGGAAGAAATTTAACAATTCCCCGAACTCAATAATAATTGGAATCCAAGAATAATGCCACATAACACAACATTCACTTCCATTTCTTTTTTATGCTGCAAAATGTTCAAAAAAAAAAATACTGCTTTATTACAATAGTCTGCTTAAATTGATTGAGCAAAAAGTTAGCGCAATGAATTAATCTCAATATAAACAAAATGACCCAATAAATAAAGAGTGAGAAAAAGTATAAGCAAGATGAAGTAGTTTCAAATTTCGCTTGTCGATGTTTGATTTGTTCAAACCGATCACTAACAAAACTTTTATTTTCGAACGGTTTTTCTAAACTTGATCAGTGTTTAAAACAATAACGAAAGAAGGGTTTGCTTTTTTAGAGCAAATCGAGAATTTAAGTGTGGTAATGCTTTCTAATAGCTATTGCTTGAGAAGAAAAAAGTAATAAACTGTCTCAATTGCTCACAAGCTAAAACTTTTCAATTTTTCAATTCTTTCGATTACACATATTTGCAACCCTTTCATTTTTTTGGTTTTTTTCTACAAACTTTTCTGCATTCATTCTTATTTTATTCATGATCAAGGATGGCTACGACATATAACTAAGTTTTAAGAGTAATTTTTTGTAGCCAATGGCAGAAGAAATTTAAAGAAAATGAATAAAGAGCCTTAACGATCTTTTCATCCCAAATACATAACTGAAACTCTAAATAAGTCTATCCATTATTAAACCAGTTTTGGCAGCATCTATGTGGGACTTAAATGCATATATGCAACCCTTTTTTTTTCAATTTTTCTAATCTCTTTTCAATTCTAACACCCAATTTTCTCTTTGGATTGGATTTTATTAGTAGGACATGCAGCTAAAAAATGAAAAGATAAAAATTGAGAAAATCTCTAATCTCTAATGAAAAACAGAGAAGCTCTAATAAAAAATTTCTCTTGTTCGAAATGAGAATTATTTGACAAGCTGAATATAAATACATCTTTTTGCAAGCAACTGCCATTTTCGCCATAGCTGTAAACAATACAAGTATTTTTTCATTTGAATAATGGCTTATTTCACCTTTTCGTTTATCATAAATTCAAAAGAAAACCTTTCCTTACTGTGTCTTCCTTTTTTATGTTTTCTAGGTATGTCTGAATCAAATTTCAATCGAAAATGTTACACCTTAATTTGATTTGTTCTTTTTAAACATATTGAATAACTTAAGTATTATGTATATGTTATCATAAATTACTGAAAAGCAAATATCAGAGCATATAAAATAAGTGATGTCGCAATGTTAAAATTAGTTGAGAATAAAATTTTGATCACATAAATACTTATTTTATGAAAGAGAAAATAATACTATAATACCGCTAACAATGCTAAAATTTCACGAAAAAATGGATAACGAACCAATAGACGGAAATATTTAATCATTCCCTTTCATATTGCAACTGAAATGGGACAGAAGTTCAACAAATATTAGTTGCAGCCTTGTTACAAATTGAATATATTTCACAAAAATTTGGGAAATGTCCAAATGAATGTCTATTTTGATTATTATTAGCAATGTTTTTGCACTGTATATAAGTTGTTCTATGTAACTGAAGAAACGAAAAAATATAGTCAACTAATTTGAATGTTTCATTTTGTTAATTAACATCGATATAAAGCAAGTCTAGTGACAAGAAGGAAAAGAGAAGAATGTTCTATACAGATTTAAAAAAAATGATAATGAAAGAAAGAAAAGAGCAATTCACTGGAGATAAAACATAAATATTGCTAAAATAACAACAACTCTGAAATTTCAACAATTTGCACGCACAACAAAATTACGAAATAAAAATGGCTATGGAAAAAAGTATTTAAAGATAAAAGTACAAATATTTTAGGAAAAATTTAACCTTTTTGCCAATACCAATCTTAAAACTATGACTGCATATAATGTGTAAGCAAATTAACAATCTAAAAACCTATTAAACTTTTTACAGGGAATGAATGATATATTTTGCCAAGCATTATATGAGAAAAATCTACACCTTCTTTCAACATACGCTTACCTCATTTAATAGTTGATAATGACTAATATCTATGTCTATATGTCTCGTATTAAAAGATATTTCTCCCATTCAACATAGAAATCTCACGAGCACTTTTTTCCTACTTTTCAACATTCATCATTTCATATATTATTGAAAAAAAAGTAGCTATTTGCATATACGTCATTTCAAAGTTCACACCTAATGCAGCAATAAAGAAATGAAGGAAAAGAAGCAGTGTAATGATGCAATTATCAAATTAATCAGAGAAGTAAGCTGTCAATTAGCTCAAAATGAACTGTGTATGCCAGCCACGTAAGATTCAACGGATTTGAAGCATTCGATGTGCTTGCATTTTGTTACCTTACGAATCTCATGTGATATACTTAAGTGGAGAATATATCAGTGAACAAAAAAAGAAAAAACAAACATAAACAAGCAAATGAGCAACTGCGCTTCATCGCCAACCACCTGCTCCATTTTATAATTACGACCAATCCGAAATTAGTTCGCACCCGGAATGAAAATTTTCGTCCGGAGCCAAAAAGAATGTGAGAGAATGAATAATACATGCTCGCAAGATCGACCGGGAAGATTCAGTCTTTTTTCGATCTGCTTTTTCTCTCTCCTTCTCTCTCTCTCTCACTTCCTGATTCAATCATTTTGAGCTTATTTTATGACAATTTTCATTCTTTTTGTAAATTCTTCTCTACTGTTAATAATTGGCATATTGTGATTGGTTGCTATGCAGCCTGAGATTGATGCGAATTGTTTTTGGGCGACGACAAGGTCTTTTAACTTTGATATGTGTTCACAATAAGTTAGTTCTTCGAGAAAAATATTGAATGAGCTTCTAAAATTCAGCAGTCCACTTTAAAATTGTAACAATTTATGAATTATAAATATTTTGATGAAATTTTTCTGCTAAGAATTAAAGAACAATGTTATCGGTTGATATTAGTTAATGACTTTATCCGTTCCTTACTGCTCAGTAACCTTAATATTTAGAAATGCCCATCTTTGGCTTGTTTCTATTATTGTTATAATGTGGATGGTAATATTAATAGCAGCAATGTTTCGAGCCGAGTCTCTGTTCTCACATGACAAATCACTTATGGATGATATGTGGAGGGTATTTCTTTTCAAAACTGAAAATTCAGGAAATCCATAAGTTTATTAGGAGAAAATTTCCATTAACCACCACGAATCCCATAACCGTAAACATTTCGCTTAGCTCATCATTTGCTTAGCCGGCCAGATGAATACGACTCTTCAGCCTTCCAGCTTCCGTAATACCTTCTCGATTAATATAAAATTTTTGAAGTACCAAAAGATCAAAACTTTGGACTGTGTAAACGAATTTAAATATACTGTGCAAACTATAACTAGGAAATGCTAAGTCTTATCTACTCAAAAATTGCATTTTATGAACCATTTTTCCGAAAGATTGAGTAACTGTAACTGTTAAATACAATTCTGTTTTAACGCGATTCTTATTTAGCACAGGAGATGTCTAAAGTTGAATAATACACTCTTCATCAAAAAAAAAATATAAAGTTTGAAAACAGTACTGTAAACACGGAGTGATTCTTTTGATAAAGATTATTATCAAAAATTTCTTGCTACTGACAAGTTCAATTAAGAATTGAGTGACAATGCCCAAGCAGCTCCCTGGTAAAACACAGTTTAGTTCATGAAGTCACCGGGCTAGGCACTGGATAGCCTAGAAAAGCATCCAGCACACAACGCTGCAAACATGAGATAGTAGACAACATTTTGTAAGAACGATTACCTTTAGTGATATGCCAAAATCGGCACAAAATTTTCAATTTTATAATAAACATGTGTAAAGCGGGAAAAAAAGACCAAATAATAAGGAACTAAAAAAAAATTTTACTACCTTATAAAATAATAAGGTAGTAAAATAACACGCGTACTCGGTTTACAAAGAGAATTCCTTCAAATGAACCGTAGTTAGTAATTTTTTACAAATTTCCGAAAAGTCTGCTTACTTTTGGCACTATAACTCAACATTGTAAACAATGAAAACTATAATTCGGCACATCTAAAACCGAAATTGGCAAAAAAATATTTAAGCAAACAAGGATTGAAAAAGCAAGTATCATAGCAAGTTTTGAGATCAGGAACGAGGCAAAAAATGTTTATCATAAAACCAACATGCGGGTAATTTATGATATCATAATGCGATTTAAAGACTATTTATAATGTCTAGTGCTTTCCATAAACCATTTGATCTAGCTATGTTTTTGACTTTTCCTAGAAACTACGAGAAGTTTCTCACCGTTTAACATACTCCATTATTCAATCCACAAATTGCACCAAAAATTAAGTCGAATAAAACTGACAATGTTTCTCAGAATAACGAATAGATTGCATAATGGAGAAGCATATGAAGCACTCATCTACAGTGAGAAAATGAGTTCCTAAATGATGATGAAAAAGAGCGGTCCCAACAATTTATGTAATTCCCTTTATGAATGATCTATTTCATTTCCGTTATAATGCTAAATACAAAAATCATAAAAGGGAACGAAATTAAGATAAGTGATGAATTACCTGAGCGACGTACAACCAATATAACCCATATTAACAAAACTTTTAATAAATGATTAACAACAGAGAGAAACGCAAAGCAGCCTAATTCAGGTTTAGATCCTCGCATTATCTGGCACTGAACAGCCTAGAAAAGCACGCATCATTGCATCACTCGTTTCAATGGCATAAGGTTTTCGTCGATCCGTTTTAACACCAATAACCTACAATAAAACTCTAAATCAAATACAAAACATTGGTCAACAATTATGAAGAAACCTTCAAGGTTAATGAAAATCAACAAAAGCCAGAAAAAACAAAGATTTAATCCATAATCGAAAACTTTTTTACATAAAATATTGATTCGACTTGAAGAATGATGCGGAATTGACCAAAATCTTTGATGATTTTAACAACGCGGAACGAATTTTTATTTTCTTATGCAGACAACTGCTCTGCTTTATACGTTAAATAAATCAACTAAAAAAAATTCCAGGAAAATGAAAAACAATACAATGCATAGGCAAATCGGGTATTTTTCATCTTTAGTTACAACTATTCATAGGAAACCTGAAGCTAATGAAATTTAATCAATAAAGCAGAAAGCATATCAAAACATACAAAATGTCGTTGTAGCGCGTGTACATGAACGTTGCAGTTGTCAAGTTCTATATTGCATATTTTACAGCGCCAAGTGTCCGACGTTTTGATTATATGTTGGTCTTCAAAATGACGTAAATATTGCTCATTCTGAAAGAGAAATGAAATTTAAATAAAGTCAATCTTGAAAAAAACAAATAATTATAAAAACTCATGCATTGTAAAGAATAACATACACCACAAAATCGAGTTACTCGCTACTCAATTCCAGCAGTCTTTCTTCAATTCTTTCGGAAAACAAAGACAACAAGTAATCGTTTCACAATCCAATTATCAGAAGATGAATATATCAAAAACTTTTGAAACCCAATTTTAATTGCTAAGATTTCTATTTGGTCAAAAGTTTAAACGATTCTTCAAACTGTTACTTAATCATAAGCTAAGCTGTTACATTTGTGTAGTTAAATTTTTTATGTCAAAGTGTGTAGAAAAATAATGCGTTGAAATCCACGTAAGAGCCCCACTTTTTTTTAAAGTTTTAAGAGTTCTCGAAAGTTCTGGATTTTAAAACAGTAATAACCAAAAGAAAGGAACCTTCAATTCGTTTAGATAACATAAACCACATTCTCGACACATACCCCAAAGAGAAAACGCATGAATATATGAATGATCAATATACGGAAAATCAGCTCGTGGCGAACTGGACCACCAGTTTCGGCTCGTACCACATACAAAACAACATGGCCTGAATTTGAAAGCAACTTAAAAATGATTTCAGTCCATATGTTTTCTCACCATCACAATTCGAGAAGAAAGACACAAAAATAGAGATCAGAAGGGTTAACACTATCAGATCAAATGATCTCAATACTTATTTCATATTCTAAATTCTAATGTTTCAACGCAATAACTGGCCAATTCTTACCAATCTGTCCGAGTTGACTATCCCAGTACGAATAATAATTTGTCATAGGATACCTACTAAAATGAGATACAAAAACCCCTCACGTCATACGCCTTCACTAACGCTAATCACATTATTCACTAATCACACCTACACCCATCAAAAATTAGTCGTTTTTTTGCATTAAACATATAAAATGCTTGATTCAAAACAATTCCTGATTTAAAAATAACCCTTTTTGCAGTTCAACCTGAATGAAATCAGCCATAATTGTGTAAATATGCAGCCATATACCCCTTCATATTTTTTAAAGTATGAAGAGTGAAAAATATTGCTTAAATGGTCAAAAAGTTACGCATTTTTCGTTGCACGATGCTCGTGCTCATGTCGCAGTCGTGCTTCTATTGAATAAAAACGTAGTTTGCATCTGAAGAAAAAGAAAGTTTGAACATACAAATTATAGTGCAAGTCATATCCCATGATATGTGATAAAATTATTAAACTATAATAATAGAGAAAAAAATCTCCGGTTCAACCTGCTCAAATATTCAAAATATTGTTTTGGAACCTTGAAGGCCTTTGTTACTTTCAAGTTATATCTTCTAAATCTCACAAAAAAAAAAGACAGAATGTGAAAAACCTTTGTTTAAAAGTGAAAGAATGAGCAGTTGGATGTGCTGTTGACTCGGCCATATGCTTTCTAAAAAGTTCTACCCGTGTGAATGGAAGAGTTTCCGGACATAAAGGACAGCGCAAGTTCAGTAGTGGTGCTGAAAATAAGAAATCAAAATTAATCATTTTTGGCATTTAAAATATGCAACTTCACTCATTTGTTCATCTAGAAGATTATCTCAGAGCAACACACCTAATCTTTAAATTTTTTGAATCGACAACATCGATAAATGACCATCAACGGATTCGAAGACCGAATTTACATTCATTTCTAACCTCTTCAATTTCTACACAGCAAATATTTCCACTTTTGAAATTACTTACAAAAATTAGAAGATAAATTATAAATTAACTTAAAAAAAGTCTCGGAAAAAACAAAAGAATAAAGCGTGCTAACTCTGCTTTTGATGATGAAACTCAACCATGTGCTTCACAATGAGATTTTCGAATGGAAATGCACTACCACATTCCAAACAAAAAAAAATATTCTGTGGATTATGACGCAAATTATGAACGCGTCCACTAGTAATCTTTTCGATTCGTATATTGGCACATCCAGGTCTAGCACAGAAGTATCCACCTTCAGCATTCTTTACGATATAGTCCCGGTTAATCATTTGAGTGCCAACTGTTAACCCGACTGCTTCGAGCACACCGCGATAAGGCTAAACTAGCAAATTCATGCTTTCTAATTTGCATGTCTATTCTCAACAGAAGGTTAAAAAAAACTAAATTACCTGTAAATAGGGTGGCGTTTTCGAAGACGATGGTGATGAATCAGAATCCGATTGCATAGAGGTGGATGATGCAGACGGCTGGGATGTGGACGGAGCCACTGTTGGGATAGACGGTTGAAAATTTGTACCCTAGAATATTCTGGAACAGCTATTCATTTTCTGTAAAACTTTATTTATTAAAGAGCTCAAGCCGTATCCTCATAACTATAAAAATCAAGTGCCCTATCTGTACTACATTCATCTTTTTTACAGATATTCACCTCATATCTAACTCAAGAGCTGAAAAACGAACATGTGGTGATATAACAGCAGCTGCTCCTGATGTCGGATCAGCCTAAAAGTAGAAAAAAAATAGAGAGAGTTAAAAATATTGCAGTGAAAATATGTTAAAAATTCAATATCAGAATGACTGAATAATTATTAAGAATTTTTTGAAAACTTTTGAGAATATTCAAAAAAACTCATTTATTAAAATTTTAATGAAGTAGTGAAGAATTACAGCGTTTTTTTTGAAATTACAATAGTTCATTAGAAGTTTACTTACAACAGGGTGTGACTGTGATGAAGGGGACAAAACCGAGGCTGAGGCTACTGCCAATGCTTGCCGAGCTGGAATCCAAGAAAATTGACACGACTGTCTAATACCGATGTTACTTGACATTCCTTTTGATTGCTAAAAGATCACAAAAAAATTATGTCTTTTTAAATTTCAAAATTATTCAAAAATTCAGCATCCGAATTTTAATTCTCTATGGACCCTGAATTCATAAAATTAAGACTACCATTCGTGTTTTACTATGAACAAAATAAAATTACTAACATTTTGAGGAATGCAAGCTTCTGAATGAGAAATTGGCAACAGCATAGCACTCTGAGCAACACGTGCCGGATTATCAGATGATGTGGCAACTTGAGATAATGTGCATGTACTAGAAAAATTGACTAAAGTGGATGTTTGTCGGTTTCCATCATTCAAAGTACTAGTTTGTTGGTCGATGTTTTTCATTCTCCAAATATTTAACATCGTGAACATCATACCATCACTGTCATCCGCAGCATGATTCAGGGTACGCTAGATTTGTCAACAGTGAAATATATAAAATACCGATTTCATGCATGAATATTGGACGTTTTAAAACTTGAAAGATGAAACAGATAGCACTAAATTCTAACATTTAAGACATTGAATTAATTTGCATAAAACGAACCGGCAAGCTCCCAGTGAATGTCGGATTTTCCGCCTGGAGTCGCAGGAAGCTCATCTAAAAATTTTAAAACTGAAAACTCAAAAAAGATTTAATTTAGGGAATAATCCTTTTTACTCATCGATGTTAAGATAAAAAAATTCAAGGCAAGCAGATAATACGAGTTACTTTTATGATACAAATAAACTAACCAATGAGTTACATGTTGGACAAGTGATGTTAATAACATCATTTGGATGAGACAAGAACGACCGATGAATGCATTCTGATGGAATAACTACAACCAACTCATTATTGCGTATTCTGTTCTCATACTGAACGGAATTCGTTGGCTGATAATGAAATATACATGCAGCCGTAAAACCCATGATCACAATTTCTGGTACTGATGATAAAATCTGAAAAAAACAATATTGTTAAACTAGTATGTCCATTCAGAATGGCAAATTACTCATCAGCAGTGTAATTTGTCTTGAAAGCTATCCAAAACATTAAGAACAAAGCAAAAACACTACAATGAAAATCATTTTCTTCTAGGAAATCCATCGGATGATCAATTTTAAAGTTTGGAACATACTTGCCAAGAGCATCGTCTTTGTACTATATGTTCATAAACGGCACGCCCATTAGTGTTTGCCAGTCCACAGCTTTTGCAGAAATAAAGTATAGGCTGCGCATGGGCAATAAACATATGATGATATAAACGTTCATCCTAAAAATAAAGACCAAAAATAGTTCGAAATAGTTAACAGCCTTACATTCAACGAGTTACATAGTTTTGCGTTCTCCATTTCATCTACTCAGTAAAACAATTCACTTAATCAAAGAAAAATTTTTCAAAAAATCGCAATTATTGATCTTTAAAAAAATTAGTTCAGATCTAACCGTTGAATAAGTAGTTACACATTTAGAACAAACATAAACAGCTTGTTGTTTATCGGCAGATGGCACATGTTGGTTTTGATGGTTCCTAATCTGTTCCTCATTAAATGCTACTACAGAACACCGTTCACAATTTTGTAGCATGCCATGCGTGCGCATGTGCATCTGGTATACTGCTTGCGATTCATATGCCAAACAACATAAACGACATATGTATAAAATTGTTTCAGTAGGGATTCCATAGACCTAAAATTAAAATTTTATAAATTAAATAAAGAGTTCAGCATCAAATCCCTTACTGTAAGTTTGTTATTTAAAGCCAACCGCTTCGATCGTTTGACCAGCATCATATTTGTGAGTTTCTTTATGTATCAGCAAAGAAGCCCTTGTAAGAAACTTCTCGGTGCACTGACTGCAGCAGAACTTCGCTTCACGTTTTGAAATCTTACGAGACCTAATGCACCTAAAACTTCGTGTATCTTCAAATCAGTGATTTATAGAGAAGCCGGATTTTCGATTGAACATGGGTGGGTATAGACATTATTACAACATTACAACAAATACAATATGAAAGAAAAAAAATTTGTGTTGTGTGGAAATTATTGCTATGGATTAAAAAATTCAGGATAGTCAGTTAAAGCATATTAACAGGCTTCATAGTAAATCAAAACACTAAAATCATCATTTACTGAGCAATATCTGGAAACAATCGTATTTCCAGGATATTTGTAATCTCAAATAACCAAAATGCCACTTTTCTCGGTTATCCAGAATAAAAAACTTTCGAAAAACAAATCTATTTCAACAAAATAACAGTAACCTTTCAGCATTTCCAATAACTTGCAAATCTGGATCACCAGTTCTGTCAACTTTTTGCACTTCGTCTGAAATTTCTTTACTGATACCAGGATTCTCCTAAAATAGCAATTTTGAGCCGCCGTTCAGCGCTTATAAAATTATCACAAATCTTAACGCTATTTATTTCTGTTATTGCTGTAATTTAATCGTTCTCCATTTCAACATTTTTAGTTCTAGTCCCAAACATGAGATATTTTCTACTGCAGTGATATCACTAAAAAGTGAACCTTGTGCAATTGGTAAACTATCAATGATTTAGCACAGAAATTATGGAATCGAAAATCTACATTTTTTAATTCATCAATGATTGATACATCATTCTCATCATCAATGGCTGTATGGACAGATGATGGTTTTGTAGAAATAAACTCTTTTTCTACAATAGTGATTGAACGTTCATTTGTGATTGTCGAATTCTGCCCATCTGTAACACCGCATACGATGTTAGCAGCATTAGCATCAAGTACAACAGCAGCTGAACCAGATTCAACAGATGCAGTTTCATCTATAATGAAATGTGTAATAAATTAGACCAGCTATATCAAAAAATCCTAAATCATTCTAAGTAGTTTACAAAAACTTTGCAGGATCAAGACAATTACCAATCGATTATATCCATAATTATTGTTGCTTCATTTTTTTATGAAAAAATAAGTTCCAAAAAATTGCAAACAGAAAAAATAATTGTAAAGAAAAAAAAAAATAAAAAGCGACCAATTCAAGTTTCATATAAATTTGATCATTTTTTCACTAAATAACTTTCTCAACTTGTTTCTCAACCTTTATTTTCAAAAAGGAAACTCAGTTCGAATTCTTCATTTGTTAGAATGTTAATTTTGGATTCCATTCACATCTAATAAATCCAAATAGCCATTTAATTTTTCTAAAGTTAAAAATGAATTATGCTGACCTTCTGAAAATTTGATAGTTAGTGCAGATTTCGTAGTTCTTGTGGGACGTGTACAAAATGAAGGTACTGCTTCGATAACAGCATCGATTTCTGGTCGAACATTGGTCATAAAATCAGTTGGAGTTTCTGTCACGAATACTACGTCACTATTATCACCTAGAAAATCAATTCATTTATTGAATTCACTGATGTGATATCTACCAATATGTAGAGTGAAAGTGTTCAAATTCACTAAAACTTTTACTTGACACATATTCGAAATCAGTTATTCCATTACATATTTTTGGAAATGGGAATATTTATTTCAAAGAATTGTAAATGAAATATTAAGCACTGTAGAATTAATAATATATTAGTTCTACACTTTTAAAGGAAAATAATTCACCATGTCTCTTCTGATCTTTATTTTCACTACTGTTTGCATCATTTGCAATGCATCCGAGTCCTAAAAACTCGATTTCATCGTCATCATTGTTCACCTTCACTTTCCCAAAAGGAAATGCAGTATCGTTACGCTGTAAGTATAAATTACTGATTCATGTAAACTTATCAAACAATCTAAAGAAAACAAAAAATGACTCACCAGATAATTTCACGTTTCATGTTTAATTCATTAATAATAAATTCAAAAATTCCATTCTAGATATATCTTCATCTTTTCTGGAAGAAGCAAGAAAATTGAAATGCAATTCTTGAAACCTACGCCCACAAACGACAGCGATGTCAAAATTGAGGTAAGAATTCTTATGTTAGACTTTGACTTTAACAAATATAGAACAGAACAAAAAACTTTCGCATAAATTAATACGATCACTATGGTAAAATAGTGATATGTTAAAAAAATAAATAAAATTTGACTAAACTGAATTTAATCATTAAGCTCACATAGTTCTCTGTCTTATTTTTTCTGAAAAATCACTTACTTCTTTAGATGGAACATTTATGTTCATATTACTGTGCATCCCGATGTTAGGCGCAGGAAACGAAATCACACTTTCCGTCGTGCCCAGCTGAACCAATTGCCTTGTACCATTTACGATAATCCGATGCGAAGTAACATGGGAAAAAAGCTGGTCCTTCTTGAAAGCATACTTGACAATTACCAAAAAATTAATCTTCAATAATTCTTGTACAAAAAATAACCAGATATACCAACAACATAAAATAGACCTAACATTCCTGTAAAATCAAATTACACACCGAAAACATGTATTTATTGCAAAGGAGACAAAAATCCTTCATTGAATTCAAGTGGATTTCGAAATGCTTCTCAAATTCTTCTTCCGTGAATAACGAACTAACTCCACATGAACACCTTAACGATACATTGCAAGAGTGTTTCCTAAATGCACTACAAGTATGGAATTTTCGAGAACATTCCGAGCACCCGAACCTGAAATGATAAATCAAAATTAGATTTTTAACAAAAAAAATGCAGCTTATTTGGTACTTGAATAAAACTGATTGTACGTTTGAAATTTGTATTTTAAAAACCTTAATGATATAATCAAAAATGAACAAGCATCACTAAAAGTTTACACAACTAAAAATCGGATTTCAACATTCATTATATTATAAGTAAATTAAGCCCTCTTAGAAACTCATTTCCAGAAGAATTTTTTTTTCAACGCATTAACCTTTCAAAAATCACGCGATGTTCACTGAGGCGATGTTTTTTCAGTTTCTCAGGTGAATACACAGCACCATCGTTGCAAAGGAAGCACACTTGAGTACCATTACATGCATACAAAATATGGCGGATCATTTGTTCCTCGCAGCGCTTAATTGATAGCGGCGTAGTTAATTCACAGGAAGATAAACTCCGGCACAGACTGCACACTATTTTTACACCCTGAAATAAAATCTCCAACATGAGCATAATTTCTTTCATTGCGTGCAGAAATCAAATAAAAGATCTAGACAAGACTTGTCATCAATATGTAACAGATTATTTAAAGACTTACTATAGCCGCAGTCTTATAAAACCAACAAGGATGAAGTAAAAAGAGTATAGTACTAGAATCTGCGATCAACTAGCAAAAAGGAAGCGTTGATTTTAGCGGGTTCATGATGATGACAATTTTACTATCTAATATTTGTAGAATTAATATAGAGGAAAAATATGATTGACAAGTGCTAAAATTATTCAGTTATTCAATTAAATCATAACATTTTAAATTATAGTGAGAGAAGAATGAAAGGATAAAAAATACGAAAGACAGATATGCAAAACGTCTTCCTAATGAACCTACAATCATAATGAACTGAAAAGAGAAATTTCAAGTATTCACTTTCGGTTGGAGTGATTTAACTGCATGTTTAAATAATAGATGTTCAAAAAGTTCGCCGATGGTACGAATCGGACAGTGGTCTCGGAAGTACATACAAACCGGACAACAGGTCCACTGCTCCGAATGTTTCTGCAGATGGATGTCGCATTCTGCTTGATTTGGAAAATCTAATTCGCAAAGGACGCATAAAAATTTCTGAAAAATTCAAAAAAACATATTTACTGATCGTGGAAGCTTGACAAAAACAAAGTCTGGTATTTGGAGTTTTGTTAAACTTTAATCATTCAAAATTTCTGTGTAAATATAACACGATTAAAAAATAAATAAATAAAACAGTCAGTCATGAAAAATTCCATAAAATTTCAGAGTTATGAATTTTACCCACCCCAAGCATAAATGACGTAGACCTTTTCATTAAACTAATGAACCATACATATAATCGTAACGAACTGAAAATTTACATTTGCAACAGCAGATTCCGCACTACTTGCACTTCTCTTCGGAAGAGCAGATGAATACACCACATTTTCTGCCACAAAATCAGCATGACTTTTGACTGCCTGTAAATCATTTAAATAAATAACATTCCATAAATAATACATGAGTCGCTATGATATATGGAAAAATAAGGAGAGAAAACCACATATTCAACTCACCAATTTATCCACTGTCTTCCTGAATTTCGCAGCATCCGTTAAAGACAATTTCTTCCAAATAAACATTGGATTTATCTAAAAAATATTTGATCAAAGAATATTTTATAGTCGTATTCTTTAAGACAAGAAAAAGTATTCGAAGTACGCAATATCACTTTCAAAATAGTAAATTTCACTGCTTTTTCCAATAAAGTAGTTGACTGGTAATTTATTTCAGAAAGGAATAAGAATTAAATTAGGTCTTCAAAGTGAAAGATAAGCCATGACCAATTAATTCCTACTTCCGCTTTCTGACTATGAGTTGTCTGTAAAATTTTGGACTCATTACTGAATACAAATGCTTTTTAGAACCGCGGAAGTATAAACGTAATAAATCATTGTTACCTGTTGGTTTTTTTGATTGATGTATATGTCCGTTTTGTGAGAGTGCAGCAAATGATAGAAGTAGCGTTCGGGAGTGAGTAAAAGGAAATTACAAATTGGACAACGTGGGAAAAACTCTCCATCCGAACCTCAAAAATGGTTTGTACTGCATGGATATTCACAAATAAATATATCACAGTTTTAATGAACAGTCATGTGGAACTCAAAACTCAATGAAATAGTAACTAGAAGGCTACAAAACTTAGTCAACATACAATTTCGAGGCCACTTTTGACAAGCAGTCAAATGGGACAAAAGACACTGCCTTTCAATAAAACCACTTCCACATTCAGAACACAAATATAGATGGGAATGAATGAAATGATTTGCTAACTGCTGCGATGAATCACTGGTCACCTTAAATATCAATTATATTTCTTTAACGTGAAGATTTCCATAGCATAAATTTTCTTAAAACAGCGAGATCCAAATAAAGAATACACATATTTTTGTAACTAGTTATAGTAAATTTAAAAGAAAACTTCTAACAATTGTATTTGAATTGAATATTTCAAGGCATCATAAATTAACTTGAAAATAAGGGATAGGTGTACCGGAATGATTTTAAATTCTATATTTCTCAAATTTCCAGCAAATCCAATGAAGGAATCATGGAATCTATCTAAACATCAAGCTTCGCTATGATGTAATAAATATGCTACAAAATCATTTCTTTAGCATTCATCTCCTCTTCAAAAAGTCCCCGAAAAAAAAACGGATGAGATGGAACAGAGAGAGGGAAATAATTATATTCTTGAAAAAATTAATCTGAATTCTCAACGGGTATCGATATTTGTACCAAGCAGACAAATTTGGTATATGTATCTTTAAAAAATTTATTCACTTTACCTAGGACTGTGTCTAAAAAGATTCTAAAATTAGCAGAAACTTTGGTTTTCACTAGTAAAGTCAGGGTAATGAAGTTAGCAAGCTTACAGAGCAAACAATGCAAATAAATTTATCCATTATTGTTGAACTTTGTGGTGGCTCCACAAGAGGCTGCACTAAAGTTGGTCGCGTCTCAACTGACATTGAATCTGCCTGGAAAACAGAGCAATACCAATGCCTATTACCATACTTTCAGTTTCCAATGAGTAATATAGAAGAAAAATCTGTTAAAATCATACTTGGAGATTTTCTGCTGCATACATTTTGGAAGTAAGTCTTGCACTACTCTCTGTAATGAAATTTTTGATACTATAAAGGGTGAAATTGCTTTCAGAAAATGGAGAGAGAATCTCAAGATAGTCTTATGATTTTTATTCCTAAAACCCTTAAAAATCTTATAAAGACTAAAATGTCTTTCTGGCTTTTATTTTTATAATAGAAGAACCACTAATAATCACCGCGAAAAGTATACATCCCTGTATTTTGATGTACCTGGATTAGCTTATTAATATTTTGGAAAGTTAAAAATTTTGTATCTTTTCTAAACAGTGCTGACGAAGAGTTACCACTAATCAGAGGAGGTGACTGCGGCCTTTTGTCTTGACGCAGCTTAAAATTGCCAGTTGGCGTCAAATTCAACCCTAGATTTGTCCTTGTAGCAATATCAAGTTTTGTATCTTTGGTAGTTCTCGATGGGACATATTCCATGATGCCAATACCTCTGTGACTTTCTACAATTAGATGATATGCAGAATGAGATTTGTACAACACAAAAAAAACAATTTTTAGAAGGAAACTAACCTGGAATATTATAATATGCAAAAATGCCATGATCCAGAGCCAGATGTCGACGTAAGCCAGCGATTGAACAGGATGTCACTTCACATTCTGGACAACTAATTCTACCATTTGGAGAACAATGTGGAGGAGTTAGCCGAATAACCTGGAGTAATCGAACAATGTTACGAAAAGTTAAAAAATTTTAGTTGCAGTAATATTTCTCGAAAATTGTATTTTTTTAATAAATCCCTTTGTCGCCCAGATACATGGCAAGCATTGGGACAACTAAGCTAATCATTACATTACTAACTAACAATTTTGCTGTCCATTAGATCATAATGCTTTTCCGGATCCGGAGATTCGACATCCTTTTGCATACAAATCCGAAGGTGTTTCAGTGTGTTTTGATCGTCAAGATGAAGACCCTTGCATTTGACACAAATGAAGACACTGAAAAAAACATGAAGAATTAGTTATTTCAGTGATTTCACTAAGAACTTTTAGCTATTTTTGAATGCAATGCCAGACTGTTTACCTATCATCAATAATTGCGCCAATACTAGTATCCAAAATGGAATCCTTCTTGTCGACATAAAGCCGCCCTTCCCGAGTAAATTTTTCTACAAGCGAGTTGACGAAAGAATCTTGCGCTATGAACGATTCTGGTTCCTGTTTCGATTTCCTGCATCGACAAAGACTAGACTGTAATGGTTTAGTTGTCACCTAAAAAAGAGAAATTAAGAAATAAAAAAAACGAACAACCCTACCCAAATCGCCCTCCGTACCTATTTTTCGCCTTCCGCCTTCCGTATCGTAAACCTATTTGAAAAAAATGTTAAAAAACGAGCAGTTGATACCTGTTTTGCATGTCTACAGTAGTAACACAAATCTTGATCAGTTCCTTTCTTAAGTTTTTTTGACCTTTTTTTCTCATTAACCCTTCCTTTTCCTCTCAATATAGACTTCTCATATGACTCATCCTCGTCATCAGAGAGCTGAAAAATTAGAAGCTTAAAGGTCTGATATATCTCAAAACTTCTCATAGCCGTAGTTAATATGTTGTAAGCAAAAGCATTAGCCAAGGAATGTTTTTTAACTTTCCTTGGCTTGTTATGTAATCAAGAACTGACCTCGCTTATGATAAATACAAACTAGCTGAGCGGTATAAAGAGGTTCAGCATTGAACGAACTTCGAATGGACAAAAATATTTTTGAAAAAAGCTACTAAAATTTAGTATAACGGACCAACTAAAAGTAATTATTTCCAAAAATCACAAAAAGGAAATAAAAATTAACATCATTGAGTTTTTCGACTCGTGATGACTCTGTCATATCAGAACCAATGATTTTCTGAAGTGATGGTCCCATTTTAAAAGTTGTTTCACGAGAAAAAGCTGACGGCCAAAATGTTGCTTTATATAACAGGCCTGTCATCGAATGCACTTCACCAAGATGTGATAATAAGTGGTCTCTGAAATACTGTTACTGAAATCTACATAGAAGAAAAGAAATAATGTATTCAGAAATCGTATGCCAGCACATTAGACATTTCAACTTACCACTTTACAAGAATGTTCACTTAGTTATTTTTGCACCGAGATTTTTTGTACAACAATTTAAGAAAGAATGAAAGTTACAACACCACTGAACATTAACTTAATACTTTACCTAAAAAAACAATCAGTAATGTAAAAACGCGGGCACACCGGACATTTCAGTTTAGTCACTTTCGCAGAATGTTCACTTAATGGATGTTTTTCAATATCCACAGCGGAGATAAATTTGTGTGAACAAAATTTACACTGCAGCGGTATTCCACACTTCATCGTACAAGCTTTCATCGTTACATATTCCACCTCAGAAGGCCGAACAGCAAATAATACAACACATGATACCAATTTGTCTGTATTGTGATAGCTCTGAAATCAGCTCAAGATTTTGACAGTAATCGTGATTTTCACAACTTGCATTGTTAATGGAAACGTTATTTCAATTCTTGCTATTATTTACATCTATTATTATCCACAATGATAGAATGTATAACTTCAGTGTGCCTTTTTTGCCTAAACTTAAGGCAAAGTAATTCACTTAAGAAAGCAACTGTCAAGAGAAATATTTCAGTAAAAACTAACCAACAAACGTTGCAGCTTGATATGCTTTTTTTCGCTGGACAAATCACTCAAAGATGATAAAGGTACTTGAAGATTACACTCGGCACAAATCAATGTGTGCATTGCAAACATCATTTCAAACTGAAATTTAGAGAATTCGTAAAGGATATCAACTCAGAATAAACCATATTTTCATATACCATAACATGATTCCTATCTCACTCATATGATCTATTTTTCCATAAATAAGTTTTGAAATTCAATTATCAAAATCACAAGCAGTAAAACAATTTGCACAAATACACTTGCATCCATAGAAAAGCTAAACCAGTATAAGCAAACAGTCAGGAAAACTTGTCGAAAAATAATTAGTCGGATCAACTACTTACACTTGGGAAATTAAAATGTGCAGTACCTTTGTCTCCTGGCTCACTAATTGCATCATAAACTGTGTGAATTCTTTACAACAATGTTTTTTCAATTGTTCGAGAGAAGTGAATCCTTGGAAACAGTAATGGCATGCATACACGTACATGTTATGGTGACCATACAGAATATGCATCTGAGAAGTTTAGAATTAAACGATTAATATGCGTCGTCTTCGACTGAAGAGTTCATAATATTTTGTCTAACACAGAAACAGCAAAAAGACAAAAGCAGATACGAAAAGATAGGAAAATAAGAAACAGATATCAGTGAAACAAAAAAAAGCAAATATAAAATTGTCACAATCTTACATCTTACATCGTCTGCTGTAATACCTATCAGATTTTCCAGTTTAGTATTTAAAAGTCTCATTACTTTGTCATTTAAACCTAAAACAGGATCTGGGCTAGAAAAGCTTTTATATGTATTTTATATATTATTGTTATATCGTTTTCTTAACTGATAGCTCTTATGATATGCAGAAACTATAAGCTAGGAAAAAGCGAAAAAAATATATAAGAATCTGAAATATGATCTGATCGTACTGTTTGAAATTATAACCTGTAAAGTGTTGTCTTTCAAAATGGAGTTTTCGCAAAATGGACATCGAACCCCTTTACAATGTACATGATAATATTCATTTTCTTTCTGCTTTTTGGCCCATGCTGACATGAACTTAAATTCGCTCAGGGGCATGGCTGGTAACGAACGGATCCACTGGACCTCTGAAAATAGGAAGTATAAAAATCTACGGACTATATAAATTTTTAAGTAGTAAGTAAAGGTTATGTAATCACAATAAGTAAATGATAGCATAATTTGATGGACGTGTGTTTTTGAACGACGTTAACACTGCCACTGTATTGCGAGATAAAAGAAGTGTTCTAAGCACTTACCTGCTGCCCCCATATTTTTCTCTAATCCGGTATTTCGATCATTCTTCATTTTCTGAAAAATTTACTGCTGTATTCAATTTTGAAGATGGACTTATATCTGCATAAAATTCTAAAAAAATGCCGTAGCAGTTAGACGCGCAAAAAAACTTATCTAAAATTGCTAAGACACTCTAAAACAGTGCTTAGAATGATGTTATCCTACTAATGACTTTCATACATATATTACAATGTAAAATAATGCGCCAAAGGTCTAAGGAAAGACTTAGGAGAAAAAACCAACTTACATTCAGTTCGGCTTGGCACTTCTCCTTAATTTTACGTCGTGCCACGATTTCATATATCAACCGTTCTTTCTCACTTAGTTGAGACCACTAAAAGATGCTGGTAGGTAAAAAGCATTTTTGAAGAATTTCAAATATAGGAACGAAAGATGATTTCAAATTTGCAACATCACTTCAAGTTATCCTGTTTCATCGTTCAATAGACTATTTTATGAAAATATTAAGAAATTGTTTACCGCATAGCGCAAGACTTGCGAAACACATAGATCCATGTCCTTCGCTTTATCGAAACGGTCACTCTGATCATCGATCTTGTCACTTCAAGAACAAAAAAATTTGATATCTGTTACTGCATCATATGAGTGAGGTTCTGCATTTGAGCAAAATATGGAAGTTTTCATTTCAAATCTTTTAAGCAAGCGAATTTACTTTTGCCGTTCAAGTTGATGAATGAACAGTGCCGTCCCAAACTTTTGAAGACTTTCTCTACCTGCATACTAGGTAATGAAATTAGATGACAATGCAAAACATTTCAAAGTTACATTGCTACGTGAGCTATCGCTCGTGTGTCCATCAACCATGTTTAAATAGAAATTTTTTAAATAAACTCTGGTTAAAATCTGAATAGTTTCTTTGAATAGTTCATGTGCCTAAAAAAACTCCCTTTTTAAATCGACGCTGAAGGAAAACTCCAAATAACTACCAATAATTTAAGAAAGATCCAATACTTAACTTCCGGACAACAAAAGTTAATATTTAAAAATATCAGATATTATTATGAAAAACATGTTATTAACTGCCCAACCATTGATTTACACGTACTTTCTCACAAATAGTTATTTCAAAATTCCTCACACATACTAGAATTTTCTACAAATATTGAAATTATTTCAATCATACCAGATCTCGTTTAATATAGCATCTGTCATGAGTCGAAGATATAATCGAAAGCCCCCACTGATATTTGTAAGTTTGTCAAAATTGTACAAGCGACTGACGACTGTCCTCGATTCATGTGGTCCAGCGTACTGGAGGCGCTTGTAACCAACCAATGTTACGAAATTAATCGAAAGTCTAGCGTTTATCACCTTAAGCTCCTCATAAATTAAAAAAACTATCAAAGAAATTCATATTCATATTGCAGATGGTCATTTTTACGTACAATTTGTTTATGAGCTCAGAACTTTAATCTTATATTGGCACGCATAATATTATCCCACACTAACTAACTTTAATGAAACTCCATGTTTAGCACTATATCTCTTGTTTTTCTCATGACAACTAAATGTACAAACAACATTGAACCCATAAACATAACCATTGTCTAGTCATTGTGAGGATAAGAATAAAAGATTATTTTAAATAAAAATCTGCAAAATATTTCCACACATTTTTTTTCTCCTGAAGTTGTTGCTTTTGTTTTGCTGCTAGTCGTTTGTTCCCTTTAACTTCTAAACATCTGCGTTTCCTTTCTAGTTCATTGACTTCTTCTAGCGGTCGTTCATATAACAAATGTTCCAGCCGATTGTTTTTGCAAGAAGTCTAAAAATAATTTTACAAGCTCAATTCGGGGTATTTTGACTAAAAACTTTACAAACTTCATATTAGTGTGCAATTCCTTATACTGAAATCTCCGTGTACCTCATATAAATGATTTAAAAAAGTTGCCCGCATGAAGTACAGATGTAAAATAAATGATGAAGAGACCCAAAATCTTTGACCTTTATAGACGAAAACAAATGAATTAGTGCACCCTTGCGTCATCTCGTTCAGAACACAGAAATAAGCTATGATGCTCAATTTTTTTGGATTTTTTTCAACTTTTCACTAAACTAAAAAACTTAAGATTGTTAGTTTTCACCTATTTCTCATTGTACAGTTCGAAATGTTAATCTATTAGCTTCTGCTTCTTTCATCATTTTCAGTTTATCAGGAAAAGCAAATTCTCAACGTAAAGCGATATTTCACATATTATATAGCATGAAAAATACTTTTACAAGAAGGAAGGTCAAAAACATATGTGGCACATGTGATGCGTAAAAGATCTCTGTTAGATGGAACAAATATAAGTAATGCTAGTGATACATCTGAGAATCCAAAACAAGCTAATGTATGAATTTTTTAAAAAGGCATAACAGAGTTCTCCATTATTTTGTTCTTGCTGCATGTTAGATATAATCGAGTGGTTCAAAATATACACTTGTATAAATATTCACAATAAAAAAGAAAAAAGAACTGCTTATCTAAACGACCATCTTACATGAAAAACTTTAGTTTTTGACAGTTACACAATTTAAAAAAAAGATTATAATCAGTCTATACTTTTATTTACTACTCTTAGAGATCACATAATTTCATGAACAAATACCAATTATCAAGGTAAGGCGATAAAGTTTGAAAGTTATGAGATTATAATCAATCATATGTAAAATAAATATTCAGCAAGATGAACGGATGAGTGGAATCCCGCATTTTTTTAAAAACTAATACATTTGTTCCATCCCTTCGTCATAATCTTGATAGCAAAATAACATTCTTCAATCTACTAAAATGCGCTAAAACCTGAGACATTGCAAAATTCCTGATTAAAATTTTTCTGAATAGATAATGAAGAACATTTTTACCGAAATGAAACTGATCCGGGTTTGTTGAAGCAATGTAATATAGAACATGGAGGCCTTAAAGAACCAGGCTCTTCGAGAATATGTGAAATAAAACACTTGGTGTGAAGAATAAACTATTTATAATATTTTGGGGTGAAAAAAGGTAAATATAAATATTATGATACCGTTGTAAATATGAAACAATTTTTGTTAGCTTTACTTCCCGTACGTCCAAATCAAAAGTATTATCGAACGAATAATGTCTATATGTTACAAATGTGAGGCTATGAATCAACTTGATTAGCAAAAAAATACATAAGATAACTCAATTGTTTTTGTTGCAGGTTATTAAAATGTAAATGTCCTCATATTTATTTGATACTTTTGTTAAACCAATACTATGGTTTGGAATTCTTGTACGACTACGCTATGCCCTGCTTTAACTACTCTATTCCTACCAATGAAGAGGATGTCTAAACGAAATGTTTAGGATTAAAAATGCGTGGTGAGTAATAAATGTAGCGGATTTATTCAGAACAATCGAATGAAAGTACATCACCATTTGGTTTACACAGTTTAAATATGTATTCAGAAAGGAAATGTATTGACTTAGTTATAGATAGTAGCAGTATTTAAGAAATTAGTGTTGAAATATTTCAGCAATGTTTCATCCTGACTTATCTTGATACGAAAAAATATTTCATCATTCCAAATTACTAGTGAAATATTGTATATATTCGAACTCATTCAAGTAGGTATATCAATTTATTATTCTCCATCAGCAAGTTGGCACCATAAATCCACTCGAAATGTACATTCCATAAGTTCATTAAAAAAGAAAAAAGGTGCTAATCGATCTAAGAAAAAGGGCAGAAATGAAGCTTGCGAAAGGATAGTAATTATTGCTCATCAAATAGTAAAGCAACAAGATCTGATGAAGTGTCTGTTGTAACTAATAAAAGGAAAAACGATAATCATGAATGTTATAGCATCGCGTCCACAATTGTGATTAAAAACGTTGTCAGCGTCGTTTAAGCGAAGTTATGCCCAATAAATACCATTATGGTACTATATAGGATGCGCGACACAAACAAATGTCCTTCTCTAACCTATTGATGACAAAAATTCATGTGATAACACTTCATTAGCTCTATCAGCTAATGTAGCTACAAAAATATACTTAAATTCTCCACTTCTGAACAGAACCGTAATTTTCGTTCCCATTTTCTATTCTACCACCAATCTAAAATTGAATAGGCAATATCTATTGGACCAGCAAATTCCCAGAGGAAGTACATTATCCGCAAAACTTCGTAGTAAAGAAGAAACGAATGTTTCAATAATGTATACTTTGATGATGTAGAGTATAGATAAACTATAAAACAAAACAGTAAGAGACCATGACAATGGCTTCTAGAGAGGCAATATTCAACACTAATACTTTGACTCCAATTCCAAAGATATGATCTTTATTCAAAAATCAAATCAAAACTTACAGTATTCGATCTAGCATCCATAAATTGGTGCAGTTGAAAAAAGCTTCCCGTTGACAAGCATGCACGACGATTAAGGTCAAGTTAAGTCTGAAGAAAACAAAGCTTGTATGCGACAGTTATGGAAGTCCGAAGATCTACATATCTGTAGTGTTTAATGAGTAGAATATTTCGCCTGAATCTCAGAATACAGAGAAAATAAAAAGATTTTAACATCATACTAGACTGACCGGAGAGATGTATATATTTGATATGTCTGAATGTCTATGTACAGAAGAGTTTTTTTGTATATAAAGAGATGGTTTTTTTTTTTGCTCTGAATTTCGATATTTGGTGAGAAATAAATGATGACCGTTCTACATGAGTCCAGATTGGCAAGAAGCAGAACATGCCCATACATTTGTGCCAGAGTTCTATATTTGAACGGCTTTCCTTTATTATAACTGTATAGCAACAGTTATTTGAATGCAAGAAACTCGGGAAAGAAGCCAAATCAAAAGAAGATCAAATTTATTTTGAAGTTGCCATCAAATTTTAAAATAGCGCGTACGAAAAAATAGTGCAGATGAATGGAAAACATACCGTATCTCCAGTTGTAGCTCACTCTTTAATCGAATCCTCTCACGTGACACAGATCAAGCACGTGGCCCCACCCGAATCACACGTGACCAACTACAAAATCCGTGAACCTTTCACTCCTGACACAGCAACTCTATGTGGGTAGCAGAGTAGCCTGTCCTGCTATGACTTGTCTTCCTTTTCTCTGCTTGTCTTCTTGCTTTCTCTCTCCTCACTCTATTCACCCTCCTTCATCCCATCTCTCTATATCTAATGTATCCATAAGAATCCTAAAATTATTGATTGTTACAGTATCTATGTCATTGCAAGAGTGCTTTTGACGTTTGAAGCGGGAATACCACGGAGCGGAAGTGTACTACGCGATTGAGACGAGAGGTCATGATTTAGGTCAAAGGATACTGGACGCAGATGATTAAATTCTCGTTGTCCATTGTTGTCATTGTATAAAGCACTTCAACTTCCACAAAGATTGTCTTCTTTTCAAACACTTCATAAAGCATTTTATTCTGAATATCTTCCTTGCTGATTATGCTATAAATTGCGACGATTGATCATCGGAACCTATCGATTTGAGGGTAATCAAATCAATTCTTAATCGTCTTGAAGTATTGCGGAGAGCGTCTCAGAATATTAACGTAGCAGAATGCTCAATCAAATTTTCGATCCTCATAAGTTGGACAGCTCATTCCCGATATTCCATTACCATTAATAATGTTATTTTCGAGGCAATTTATTTCCGTTGAAATCCGGAGTGTTACCTTATACGACGTTGCAGGTGAGTTGTACAGCGGTAACAGGTTGAATTATCCGGTAGGTACTCTACCATATTCGTTAATATTATATTTTGCGATTTAATATAACAAACTACGGAATTACTAGGCATTGTGCAGGACTGAACGTTCATAGTTGTTTTGATGTTTCCTACTGTTTTCACGTTGTATTATGTCCAATGTAAGTGTTCTAATTGATTTGAAGTTACGTAAATACTTCTGTGCATCATCTATCCACCGCATTTTTGTAATTTGGAAATAAATCCGATCAAGCTTAATTAAAAAGAAGCTATTTTAAATTGAACTATAAATCCTAGCTAATTGATAGATTGGAAGATAGACTGGCAGAACGATTATTTATAATGTATGTTTTATAAACAAAAAGAATGCTTATTTTATATGAAATCTTTAAATTGATATCATTATTTCTTAAGACATTAGAGATACTTAACACGATGATTAATTTCGCAGGGAATAATTTCAAATTATCTGTTTGTTATACAGACAATTATTCATTAAATATGACTTATTCAATTCAATCAATTCGATTCTCTCTGTTAAAATTTCAACCTCTTCGAAATGTCCATCAATTTATAATTCTAAAGTGAAGTAAATTTTATATCTCTTAATGCCTTTTCTGTAATATCACTGAATTGGACCATTTAGCGAGGAAATTTTGCAGCTGCTTGTATTTCAATGATTCCAAGGCTTTCGACGATTAATTGAGTGACATCACCAACTGATACCATATCATAATTTTGGATTATTACCTACAAAAAATTTTTACGGAATATTTATATCCGCTTTTTTTCCTCTCATTTTTTTCTGTTATGAAAATTTAATTGATGTTTCTAATTGTAATGCGAAATATAGTAAAGGTAATAATAATAAATAATACTGCAATCTAACTCAGCTTGAGTCATATTTTTTCTTTATGATAATTTCAAAATCAATTCAATTGCTTCTCTTTTATAGCAAATTAAAAAACTTAAAAAAAAATCGATTACTCTTCAGATGCTTTGTAGTTTTTTTCTTTTAGTATTCTAATTTTTAAATTTTTCCTTCAATATGTAAGAATAACTAAATAAATATATATACAACATATAAGAACAAACTAATAAACATATATGGTAACATTTTTAATTGAAATATTCAATTAATTGAGTACATATATTTTTCAATAAATATATATTTTTCTTGATGTGGGAAAGTTTTAGAAGACGAAAATAATTGAAGTAAGAAAAACCTAGCAGCTCAACCTGGATGACATTTTCCCTAAACTTTAACCTGATCAAACATGGCAATATTATTCACCGACGCCTTGAATCAAATAATTCAACATTTCCGTACCCTCCATTATTAGAATCTCTTCATTATCAGCAGCGTTCCTGATTTACCAGAGACACATGTTTTACAAGTCTCAAAAAAATTAAGAAAATATTTCTTTGAGGAAACAGATTTTTTTCTTTCAAAAAAATTTTCAAAATTTTCGAAATGCTTAAGTAAGAATGATTATTGCACAATTTTTCTTTTCCATCCATTTCAGGAGTCAATGATTGTTGATTCTTAAACCGACAAAATCAGTAGTTATCTCTAATGCAGAGAATTTTATTTAGAAAATTATTATTAATCAAAAATTGCTATCTGAACAAGTATTGTTTCAGGAGAAAATTTCGTTTATTTAATTTTTTTTTAACTTTTTTAATTAATTTCCATGGAAATAGAAAGTTGCAGGAAGTAAGAGTAGCAAAATTTACCTGAAATTCGTAATATTTTTGCTTGGAATATGAAATTTCGTTTTAAACATACCGGTGGTATGGACACCGTCGAACATTGATAATCAGTACTTCCAAAATTGTGCGGGACAATCCACTGGACAATTTGACTTTCATTATTCCAGTTAAGTTTTTGCATTTCACGCAGATAGCGGAATTTTAGTGGAATATTTGAGTCACATTTTTTTTGTATTTCCCAAAATATTTGAAATATGAGAAAAAAAGTACTGTAAATAGTACCTAAAAAATCATAACTTTATGTAAATATACAAAATATTCTCTTTTATTCTCGTTTATTTTTCGGACCATAAAGAGATAAACTTATTGTGCAATAATTTAAAAGGAAATAAAAAAAGCTGCGACAAATAATAAAATATTGATTGCTGTCAAGTGACAGTGATGATGACGCGACATGAAATGCTGAAGGTAAGCCAAGTAAATAATGTTTTACAACCAATTGACAATGCTACGAGAACTTAGATGATCAAATAAACCGCTGCTTAATCTTTTTCAATCATTTAATAAAGGAAGCATATTATTATCCCTTGACTTAAAACAGACAAGCGATAGACAATCTTTCTAATACAAGTCTGATCTATCAAAAAAAAAAAAAATCCTTGTAATACTAGTTTCTACGATATTTAGATCATTTCAACGGATTTATATTATGAAAATATATCGATTTTTGAACGAAAATATCGCAGGAAATAGTTTTTATAAATTCTTACTGTTTTGATGATCGCATTAAAAAAGACATAAAAAGCCAAAAATTATGGGTTTTCAACAAATTTTCAAGAAAACGAAAGTTCTAAGAATCCTTGAACAAACGAAAGTTTATTCAAGGGTTCTCGGAACTTTCACCAGAACTTCAATCTTTTTATTGATGACGACGCTGACATTTGCTACAATGACATTTACGACAGTGATTTTTATGGCAATCACGGTTATCGTTCAAAGAACATCGTGGAATAGCATCGTCTCGTCCTAATTAATGGGTACATTGCCTTTAATTTGCGCCGTTTTTTTTTTTTTGCACCACTTAAAAATCCATCTGGTAGATCTCTTATAGTTAATGAAGAAAATAATTGATCGTTTGTAATTAGTAAAGATATGGTAGACCTCTTGTGGATAGTACAGAAGTGATAGATCTTTTGTGGTTAATGCTGTTAAGAGTAGTTAGATCGGCGAGCTTTTTCGACTTTGTTGATGTATGGAAATCTTAAAATTTCTGACTTCTATTAAATTTGGTGATTTTTTTAGTGAATAAAATTAAAGTTTAATTATGCCAACATTTTCCGCATATAATCATTTTTGCTTTAATGCAATCAACTTTAATTTTAATTTTCGATCATTCAAAAAATTGAGAAAGAATACAATGAATAGTAGAGCTAATGCTTCCTATCGTTGCTTCTTTTTCTCGAATAAGTTATCAAAATGTTATTTCAATAATCCATTAAAATATGCATTTCGATATCTATCTGAAGAAATTTAAATTCACATTAAAAAATACAAATTTCATAGCATCGAAAGTGTATCACTCGAATAATTACATGGGTTAGAAAGCAATCGCAGAATACTTAAACCTTTTCCCAAGGTAAGAAGTATCCCGTGAATTTATCAATCTCTCCACTATACATTTTAACATTTGTGTAAACTTGAGCTAAAGGTTGCGCTTCCTTCTGAAATAATCCATCGCAAGAGGTACCGTATGAGACGATACCAAGAAGTAGCCAACGTCCATCATGAATTTGCACCATCAAACCACCGCCACTATCACCCTGAAATGATCAAATAACGATACCGGACCTAATGTGATATTCATGAATATTTTAATCTAATCGAACAGCAACATTATTTGTCATGAAAGTATTTTCAAAATAGTTTTAACAAAAAAATTAGGTAATTAAAATCTAAGTAATAGCAATTAAAAAAATGGTCTACAATAATTTATTGCAATTACTTTACTATTTGGGCAAGTTGATATAGATCATTTTTTATTTCGATCTGCGGAAATGTACAATTTAAATCCAGAAACAAAATATTGAATCATTTGATTCATTATATCGTATCACTTACCATACTGTTTTCCGTTATACTATAATACCGTATCGCCTGTTTGATCATAATTTAATACGTGCAAAACGATGAATTATCAGAGAATATTTTTCAACAGAGAATTTCTTTTTTTTTTTGATATATAATGGGAAACAAATAAATATTTTAAAAAGAAACAAACCAAGCAAACATTTTTACTGTGTGTTTCTTCAGTGCACAAAACATCATCCGGTATTCCATTCACTTTCTCTTTACATATATCACGATCCAACAAACGATTAAATTCCAATTTTTGCAAATTATTCATAATAATACGTTTCATAGCTGCTACAATTGAATAACTGTGAGTGAAAGAAGGAAGACTTTTTGTATAATGAAATAATCAATTAAAATCATTCATTTTAATTTTATCATTTTTTTAATTTGTTGATCTAATAGATCAGATGATTCAAATTCATCGATCAGAATAATTCAATAAGAATATAAAACAAACGATTGCTTCCCCAACCAACACTCTGAATGGTATAAAACTTCTCGCCCGGTAGAATTCTACTTGCTAAGCAAATATAATTTGCATCCACTTCATTTATTTCATGCTCCAATTCCAATAACGCAATATCACCGCCAAAGCAACGTTGTCGGAAGAAACGTCCATATTGAGCCCTATCAAAATAAAATAATCAATTTAATGATACTAATTAAATTTCAAATTAAAAAAATAAGTAAATTAATTAAAGATGAAAAAGCTTTAAGGAAGGAAAAAGATAACTAAAAAGTATAGCTGAAAATAGTAGAAAATTATAATTATTGCTCAAAAGTTCGAATTCATGCATAATCCTATCAAAAAATCATATTTGAAAAAAAATAATAAAATTGAGAATATCATTTCAGTTTCCTATTATTATAATGTTAAAATGTGAACCAATTTGTGCAATAAATTATCAAATACATTTACTATCAAAAAATATGCAACAAATTTTAATTAAAATATTATTTCATGTTTCTAATAATATTAAAATGACTATCACGATATTTTGTAAATTACTGTAGTTATAATGAGGGATGAAAATGCTTGCAATCGTAATTAGTGTTATGATCTCTGTTACGATGCTTAAATTGCCATTGCATATTTTATATTTGCAGCAGTGTTTTAAATTTGAAAAAAAGAAAGAAAATTAATGCAAACCTTATGATTCTTACTGCTTTCATCGCTGCTGAATTAAAACAATTGCTTGCTTTACTTCGTCTCAGGCATTTTGATCCGTACATTATTTTAGTGTGTTTCAAAGCTTCTTCTTCAGTTATCGCATGTTTCGTGCTTAAAATTAAAAAGATTGCCGAATTCGAAATTGAAAATTTCAGCACAAACCATGTACAATCGATGAAAAATCTCAGTGTGGATAATTTCGAAGTACAACAAATATATTTCAAAGGTTATAATTAAATCAAAGATATCTTTTAATGGCTAATGCTTTCCAATAACTGTTCAATGAACAGAATTTATCAAAATTAGTTTATTAGCTGGGACGATTATTAAAATTCTAGTAATCAAAAGCAAATTTACTGGCATCGTCCTACTGACGTCTTAGCATCTTCTCTAATAAAACAATGTGCCGCTGTTATAACGTGCTTACGTGAAATCAGCGTACCAACGCAACAGTAAACTGAAAATGAAAAGTGTTTACAGTTAATAAATAAAATGATTAAAGGAAGTTAAAAAGAAATGAGAAAGAAGTTGAAAATTCTAGTATGAACAAATTAAGCTTTGTGTAATTTGAATTTTCAGTTATGCTAAACAAACGACCTCATTTAATGTAGCATATCTATTTTTGATGAAAAATTTTTGAATTAGTAAATAAAATCGTCTTAATGCTCTCAAGAAGAGATTTGATGAATAGATGTAACAATGAGATAAAATTGATTGAAATGTAAATGTTGAAGAAATATGAGTAATCGAACACTGATTAAGCAGAAACCGTCGCACCAAAAGTCAATATTTTTGTACACAAAAATCATCATTTTCCCAGTATTTTCTGTCATTTCCCTACCATAACGACTGCGCAATGAAGAAAATAAATTTGAATTTAAAACGATTAAAATAACAATAAATAAAATGATTATATGCAAGGATAATAAAATAGCATGCTAAAGAGATTGTCAAAAATAAGCACAAATTGAACATCATTAATGTAAATAGTGGTTGAGAATGTTATGAAAAATATATATATTGAAATACCAGAATAATTCTAATCTGCAAAAGCAGTTATACATGTGCTATGGTCCGAATAATAGGGAAGAAATAACGATAAAAAAGCTTATAAATTTAAAAACTTAAGAAATTCATTAACTTCAATTTAATTGCTGACAAAAATGTGAATGAAACTTTAAAATAATGAAGTAAAATTATAATTCAAAGACTTTAATTGATAAATAATGAAGTAAATAAAAACGAGACGCACAATCATACAGGTAAAGAGCCACAGTCCATGGATGTTCACCCACTTCGACATCTGTACCACCCAATACTTTCAAATGATAGTTTGGTTTTCGCACATATCGTTTGCTACGCACAGTAGTAGTACGTAGTGGTAATCCACATTTTCGTGGATCTGTAGAAGTCGAAAATTTAGCAATGTAATTTAGCAATAGTGAGATATTTGATAGTAGAAATGCTTTGTTAAGAAAAAAGAAAAAAGGTTCGAGTAAAAAGATAAAACGAATTTAATACCATGCAATGAAATTTACCGTAGTATGTCTCATTGAACGGCAAGATGGTACTTTGTTTTAGCTTAACTAAAAAAAAAATGAAATGAAATAATTTTGGTGGAAGAGAAAAAAAAGAAACTTTAACTTATTGAAATTTTAATTTCAAGCATTCTGAAATTCTTCAATTCGTTAACATTTACTTTTACTATTTTTTTGCAATTCTCATTTTTTCCCTTTCCCTTTCCACTTTTGCTAATTTAATGAAATCCTTATTATAACAACTTTTCCTTCCTTTTTTTTGCTAATTTAATCAAGTACTTATAACCACTTTGGAAATTTTTACAATCATTCAGTTTTACTAACTTTCCGAAACTTTACGTAACTTCATTACCTTGAATTCAAAAATGCTTCTTTTCATTTATTAAATGTTTTCCAGAAATTAAACCAATGATCGTAAAATTGTTAGTAATTTTTGCAAAATATTTATTACAACAGATTACTTCATTAAACATTAAACGTTCGACAAATTTTGCATACCATTTTTGATGAAAACAAAAATAAAAGCGAAAATAATAGAAATATTTGGATTCATTCGAGCCAACTTATTCGTCACGTTCGATTATTGCTAGTAGAAGAATTGTATAGAAAAATTGCCTGATCCTTTTTAAAGTGAAATGAAATAAATGAAACGTGATGAATAAATGAAGAGAGAATAATTTCAGTACCAATTTCATTCTCACCATTAGTAAATTAATATATGGCGCTGAATTTTATGAACATATTTTCATCAGAAATATTAACACTACATTTTATCATTCTGAATTCCGTTGATATGTGAGAAATTTTTTGTAATGCACTGAAATTAATAAAATTTTGCTTGATTGCAATTTACGTCGGAAATGAAAAGTGCTGCAATGCATGTCACAAAAAAAAGCATTGTTTTAAAGATAGCCAAAAATGATGATTGAATCTATAATTCAAATAATTTGAAAAGTATAGCAAAGTATCAAATTTGATTGAATGAGGTTTTTGAAAACGTGCTCTATTGCGGAAGTGCTCATTTCAAAAATTAGTTACGTCATTACAAAAAATTTAAAAATGGAATTTTATTTAATTTTTACTAATTGAAAATAACTTTTGAGCAATATAGATACAATTGTTGATCATAAAAAGAAGAAGCTTGCCTAATATGGATTTTTCAATATTCACACAGTCCTAGATAAGCTTAATTATTCCTTACATATTTCAGACAATGAATGCTATCAAAAATTAGTATTTTGACGTACTATGTGAGACATTGTTGAACTTTGAACCAAATATACTAAATAGATAATAGCCATTAATGCTTTTAAAAGCTAATTTTTTCTTAAAATATTCTAATTTGTTTTATATTAATAAAGAGAAATATAAAATTTACAGCTACTCGAGAAAAAAATTGAAAATAAATGATGATCAATGAATGATTTATTTTATATTTCAAATACTTTCATTATTTGTCGCAAATTCAATCAAAAAAAAATTCAATTAAGTAAAATTCTATCTTCTGGTGGAAAGAGGAGAAATATTAATTTGAGCCATTAAAAAATTCACCCACAGATGTGAAATGCAACGTATATTAAATAACAGTCAAAATAGTACAAAAATTGCAATTAAAAATGTTAAGCATTTCAAATACTGTATATTGATTACTGATATTTTTACTCCTCTTATTATTATTATTATTATTATTTTTTAATTTATTTAGCGCCTATTTTAGCTTATAATGATAGAACAATCGATAGTTTTTGCATTATTAATTTGCTTATTTTAATTGGTTTTATTTGCTTTAATAATTGAAATTTGCTTATTAATTTTTTAGTTCTATTTTGCTTTAATAATTACATTTGCGATCGCTTCATGGTACGAAAAATAAAAATAAAACGACTTATCACTGAAATGCAATTGAAAAAACAGAAAAAATTATCTGTTGATAGTTATATGAATTACTGTTTAGTTATACTTTGTTTCCATTGTAAATTTGATATAAATAAT